TCTTTAATTGTTGCCTTTTTTTTTTTTTTTTTTGAAACTTGATACCACAGATAAGACCTAACTGGGCTTTAGATACAACTTTTGAAATTCAGTTACAAACTGTTCTCTCTAAAGCTATCAAAGCTTTAACTGTGATTTGATTATTCCCTGAATTCCTCCCAGTTATCTCTCTAGTAAATTTCCTTTCCTAAATTCTGTCAATCCAAACAAACAATTCTGGCTGAAATAGCCCTATCTTAGGCCTCTCTAAGTGACCAGTCTTGCTTAGCTAGTGTTTTCTGAGCAGATCTTGCTACCAAGATCAATTATTTCTTCCTGATCCTTCAGTATTTTTCTTTCTTTTTAAAACACTCTTTCCTAAATCACAAGTCACATGTTAATTGAGACATCAACATTTCTAAAACTCACTTTAACTTTTTAACTAGAAAGCATACAACAGATTATAAAAGAAAACACGGTATGATGGCTCAAGCCAGTAATCCCAACACTTCGGAAGGGTGAGGCAGGAGGGTCCGTTGAGCCCAGAAATTTGAGGCTGCAGCAAGCTGTGATCCAGCCATTGGACTCCAGCGTGGGTGACAGAGCAAACCCTGTCTCAAGAAAACAACAAGCAAACATATATATATATATATATATATATACACATATATATGTCTTTCCAACCTTACCTAAGGTGGATTAATTTCACTATAACGCAGCCTTATTTTTAGATAGTCTTATATAAATATATTAGTATAATATAGACCATAAAGAACATGACAGAGAGTGAGCAATACAATAGACAGTAAGTCAGTATAAGGTAAAAATTTCTTTCTCAATCACAGTATGATTTTAATACACTAAAAGAGGTACACGATTGGAAATAGGTTTGCTGAGAAGAGCTGACAAGATACTTCAAGGAACGAGTCAGCAGCAATGAAAAAGAAAAAAAAGGATGGTTAAGGCATAAAGAGCATGGGTCGTCTCAAATTTTGGACAACAGGCTTTGTCCACATATACACTAATCCTTTCTGAAAAATCCAAGACCCCCCCCACACAAAGTTTATATTGTACTAAATTTGCTTATATAACACTTTGTAATTGCATTTTTTTGGTCTCCAAACCAGGTTGTAAACTCAAAAGGAGGGACAATACCCACCATTGTATCTATCAGGGCTCTGCCCTCAGTAAGCAAATAACAAATTAAGGGAATTAAACTATTCCTGATTCAACATCCTAGTTGCTGAAAAGGGGTTAGAAGACATAGGAAATATTTTGCACTTATTTTGCCCATAAACTAACTGTTGAGCATGCTGAGATTTATTTTACCGAGCAATTCTTACAAAAACTATGAAAAGTACTCACGACGTATCTATGCCAAATGTGTCAGCCGTGAACCATTTTGTACAAATCCCACACTGCAGCTCTACCTCTCCCAACTGTCGGCCATTCTCTTCATCCACGGAGCCCGCCTGAGTATCCATCACCTCTGATGTATCCCCAGCACCTTCCTGTGTTCACAGAGCAATTCAAGAATCAAATCAGTTGAGGTGAATGTATTTTACTTTTATTTTTTTAAGTGACGAGAGTCTCTCTATGTTGCCAAGGCTGGCCTCAAGTGATCCTCAGGCCTCAGCCTTCCAGTGTTGGGATTACAGGCATG